GTATTTGGCAACCAAATTGTACGTCTTTGTAATTTTTTGTAACTTTACACCCAAAAAAAGGGTGCTTATCTTCCAAGAATAAAAGATATAAGTATGCCACTCTGCGTCTTTTTACAAATGCTTCGTTAAAAAAAATAAAATATTAAAATCGGTTTAGTACTTTGAGAAATAAGTCGTTACAAACGTACTCCATATAATCAATTTTATATAATAGTATAGATATAGAAGTATAGATTATATAATATTTTTATCATGAAAAATTGGTTGTCATTTAAATTTAGAAAGTCATATGGCTAATTAATGTACACATGTACTGATATAAGGTGCGTTCGACAAGTCAAAAATTTGAAATAGTTTTTCCAAATTTTTACTGGATGGCGTTCGATAACGACAAAAAATTATCCAACACACAAAAATTGAGAGAGCAAGCGTTCATTTTGATGCAAGGGAAGCGTTCATTTTGTACTGGCAAAATTTTAGTCAGCAAAAATTATCCAACACGAAAACATATGATCACAAAACATATGGTTGCAATTCTTGTAAACAAACAAAATTGCATTTTCCGAGTTTTGGTATTTATATGCTTTTTGGCTGCCTGCTATGTGACTTTATGATAGCGCCAACTAGTTTTTTTTTCTAGAAATGTTCCTGGCGAACATTGAACGTTCACTTTCCTGTTTTCTTCTATGGAGGCAACATGAATTTCAGTTTGTTTACAAATAAAACATAAACAAAGTCAGCTGGTGTGTCTTCTTCTTCTGGTTTTTGCAAGTAATGGCTTATTTCCTGTTCGTTTACTTTTTTTTGCTTTTTCATCTCTTTGGGAGAGAATTTTCGCTTACTCTCTTGATTTTGATTGTTGGCTAATTTTGTTATCGAACGCAACTATATTTACATATCGTCGCCCGTATGCCAGAAACATGAATGTGTAAAAATGAAAATTTTGGAAATCAAGTTTGAAATTGTTTAAACCTTTATGCAATTTAAATTGTATGTGGTTTCCATAGTGGCGTTCCAGATACTTCACGATTTGCATGTTTTACAGGATTTGCAAGAAAAGCTGGTTTCTCCATTAATAAACCTTATGGAAGGTGGTCAACTGGAACGGCTTGCTGTAAAAACCTACAAATCGTGAAGCATCTGGAACGCAACTCATGTATTCTGGGTTTTAGTATAACTTAGAACATCTAAAGGTTAATCAAGTCAACCCAATAACTCAAAACTGATAAATTTGCACATTCATGCTTCTGGCATAAAGGTGACGATATGGAAATAGTTGCTCGCATTTAAGCTCTTCTTTGTTGAGTCGTTTTTTTTTTTTAAGTTGCTCGCATAAACGATAAATCATTGATTGACGTAAAAAATGTTTAATGATTTTTTTGAAGAGTTCCCATGTTTACACCATGACGGAATTATACCATGGTTTACACATCAGTTGGGAATGAAGTTTTATTTATGTCATTAGAATCGCAAAACTTCACTCCAAGCTTGGCTTGCCTACCGTGGAGAGGGCAGCTCTTCAAATCAACAAAATGTTTGTATATTTTTGTCAGTGTTCATGTTTATGTACTTATATGTTTTTTTCCAAATTACATAGGAACGAAAATGAATGACCGAATATAATACACCTGAATATTTTAATTTTTCAAGTGTCCTCCCCAAAAGTTGGCAAGCCTACTCTCCCAGCTGATATTGTAAACGCTTTCTTATACTTTCCAGTACTTAACTAGCGAAGCGTCTGCAATTTTTAAGCTAACGTATATTCGAGCAAACATTTATCATATGTACTTCATTTTTAACCGACTTCCAAAAAATGACGAGGTTATCAGTTCGTCGGAAATTTTTTTTATTTATTTTTATTTTTTTATTTTTTTATGTATGTTACCGCATAATTTTGTACCACGTCAACCGATTTCGATAATTTGGTTTTTGCATCGGAAAGATAGTGTCTCAGAGGTGGTCCCATACTAATCTGGTTAAGATCCGATCAGTGGATCATGAGATATATATATATATATTTTTTTTTTTTGAAACCGGTTTTTTTTTTGCTAAAAATTACGTGTTATTTTACTGTTTGGGTGTACAACCAACTTAATCGTAACATATTTTGTGCATATACTTATATATTCTTTTTTCTTTTTGCAACAGGAAATGGGTTTTTTTTATAGATCTACTTATTCGCTACATTGTACTAAACAATTTTTTTACATAGAAGTCTCAAGTGATACTTAAATATACCATAGGCTTATTCATATGTATGCATGCATATAGCACACCTTCTTCAAAATAGGCACAACTAAAAAATAGGTTGATTTTACCTAAATTACTTCGTTGGTCTTTTCTCCGATTAATGCAAATATTTATTCTTCATGTATTCTCTAACTAGGAAGCTTCATTTATACCCGTTTTCTTTACGAACCACAAGCGGTTATTTTTTACAGTTATGAATTTGAGTTGTGCCTTTAAAAAAAAAATTCACTGCCGACTCTTTTACTAAGCTTTAACTACAAAATATATACAGTGACAAACAAAAGTATTGGCACAGTGATTTTTCGCAATATATGCAAAGTTTTTTATTCAATTTATTTTCGATAATTTTTTATAAAAATATAGTTTATTTTACACCAGAAAAGGTAATAATAAAATCTCTAAACTTTTTGTAAAACTCAAGAATATTCATTAAACTTGCACATTAATTTGCAACTTTTTATTCAGATTTTTTAGAAAAATTCTAAGTATGCAGTTTTATAGTCCATTCAATTTTAGTATGACAAAATGAAAGCTTAAAGTTTGTAGAAAATCGCGTTGATTTTTGGCAATTTTTTTAGTGGAAGGTGTTGCTCATTTCCTCCATACAAAAAATAATTGTCGAATTACTTTGTAAGGAAGAACTTGCGTGAAAAAAATTACCAAAAATCAATGCGATTTTCTAGCGACTTCAAACTTGCACTTTGTTATACTAAATTTATATGGGCTATAAAACTGCATACTTAGAATTTTTATAAAAAATCTGAATAAAAAGTTGCAAATTAGTGTGCAAATCTAATGAATTTTCCTGAATTTTGCCAAAAGTTTAGAGATTTTATTATTATGTTTTCTGGTGTAGAATGAACAATATTTTTATAAAAATTGTCGAAAATAAATTAGAATAAAAAACTTTACATATAATGCACAAAATTCACTGTACCAATAGTTCTGTTCGCCACTGTACATTTTTCACATACCATCTGAAATGTAAAATGCCGTAAATAACAAAAACTTCAACGTTTTTTATTGATTAATTATGATGCATTTCATCGAATTACAAATCCAAACATCGTTTTATACAAAAAAAAAAAATGTTATTAGTTACGGTTTTTCGCATTTCAGGTGACGAATATGTACCTATGTACATACACTTATTTATTTTGACCAGTTTTGGCTATATTTCATTTGTTTATTTAATATTTATTATATTTTTTCCGTTATTAAACGGAAACCACATAAATTCATATATCAAGCTTTGTGTAAAAATTATGAAAATTCTGCAAAGTTGCATCTAAATTTCCAACTTTTTAATCCTATTTTTCAGGACTTATTTTCTATGCATTTTTATGATATAATAAATATTAAATAAACAAAAGGAATATAGCCAAACTTGGCCATGGGTGTAAATACGGTATAAATTTACATACTAACTAGTAAATATGTACATACATATACATAAATAGTAACTACAAATGCAACAGTGTTTAACTTTTATAAAGTATACATCATCACAAACCGGATTTCGTTTTCAACCAATCCGAATGTTCTTTCCCATGTTTGGGCTAACTTCTATTAAGTACTGCATACTTATGTAGGTACTTATAGTAAGGCTTTCCTGTAAATTCTCGGCACCCTGAAATTGTGCATATGGAAACTGTGCATACGAAATAATGCATATGAAAAAAACCGAAATAATGCATANAATGTCTAAATGCACAGTTTCCATATGCGCAATTTCGGTGCCCCTAAATTTTCGCTTGCGAAAAAATATACCTGTTATCTAATATCTACCCACGTCACTTAAAGGCTCTGAATTGGCCAAAAGATGAGTTGAAGTCTGTGCGTTATTGTCTCGGGTGAAATCAGGATTTGTGTTAGGCGGTGGGAAACATTCTTCCGGAAGAAATCTATTAAAAGGAGAAGTATTTTTTTTTTAATTTACCAAATTCCTAATAAATAGTAGTTACCCATAATTGTACCTACCTATGAATTACGGGTGATAAGAGTTCAGCATCCAACTTTTTCACCACAGTTGGTCCGGTGAGAAAAGACACTACAGTGCCGACTAGCAGCGTTGACGAAACGCCAATTACAGTAATCCAATGAAAGGATAAACGATACAATGGAAACACTTCCGTTTCATCACCATAATCTGTTTCCGGTACGGTGATATTAACAAGGCATTCCGATACGGAAACCTCCAATTTATGCGGTCCTATACGTCCCGCTGCTATCACAGCCTGTGAACCGAATGATACCCAACCGGACATTAGCGCGCCAGCTACTGCGCCCGCTAAGGCACCCTTCGTATTACTCCATGGCACCAACATGCCAAGCGTGAAAATACCAAAAGTTGTGCCACCCGCAATTGCAGTCACCGAAGTGGCCACACTTAATATGCCGCTCAACTTTTCGAGCACGAACACTAACGCCATTGCAACGGCACCCAGAAAGACTATTACACTTTTAACGATCACGTTTGTTGCACGTTCGCTGAGCTTCACTTTAAAGCTGCCACGCACGATATCCTGTAGAAACACCAAAGCGGTTGAATTGAGTACGACGGAGAGCGAACTTAACGCTGCTCCAAATACGCCGGCAATAAAGAGACCGGGTATGCCTTGTAGGTGGCCAACAGTTTGCATTACATAAATCGGTAGTAACTGATCATCGTTCTGTTGTGGGGAAAAATTTAAACTGCGGTATGTTAGTATAAATTGTTCATTTATGTGTTACTCTTGAAGCTTACCGAGATGAGTCCAGCTGTAAGTGGATCACAGTTTTGATAGAAATCAAAAACTAGTAAGCCGGCAAAACAGCAAACGGAAATGAAAAGCACGACACCCAAAGTAAAGATTATAATCGAACTTTGACCCCTTTTCAAAGTTGGCAGCGACATATAGCGTTGAACCATTGTCTGATTAACACTATTGAAAGCGGTCCAATAGAAGAATCCACCAATCAAAACAGCCCAAAATGTTTGTCTTTCATACGGTGATGGATTTACGCTGAAAGTAGTAAGAGAAGAGGTAAATAAAATCAGACAAAAGAGTTTCGACAACGTTCAGCCGGATAAATTCACTTTCAAGGGTAAGTTTAGAGGTCCATTAATGATATGGTCGGTGAGATTATGCTCCAAAACTCCAAAAGTGGTACTCCTAAATACTCAAAAGATCTTAACTGGCCTTTGTTGACCAGTTACGGAGTTACAATTCAGCTTTTCCGCTAATGATTCGTGAGCTACTGAGAAAAACTGATGAATATACTTTCTTCTTTTGTTGTTGTAGCGACGGATTTTTTTTCCAATCGTTGTAGTCAAACTCAAGAAACGTGCCGTTTTGACGGGCTCGGACAGAAGGGAGGGTTGGGTTCAGCGGTCATGTAAAGAGGTGGTTGGTGTCGTGGCGGAATCCCCACATGCTGGACAATCATTAGGGATGTTTTGGCACTATGCCAGAGAAGAGTCCACCCGGAGTGACCTAAAAACCTGCTCAGGTCTGGCCCCATATTTCCTAAGCCAAACGGCAAACACTGCATTCCACGCCAACCCACAACTTGCGCAATGCACCAGTGCCTCTACACCTTTTGCAATTTTGTCCGAGTTCAATAAAGCACGTGAATCGTTTCTATTCTGTGTCAACTGCCGCCAATTAAAGATGCCAAGGAAAACCCCCAAATCTCGTCTTTCCGCCGTAGAGAAAGTCTTCCGTCTAGTCGATCTTGTCATTGTAGAGGCTTCTGCGCCATATACCAGCACGAATATGATGAGTGACGAATAGAGGGGACTTTAGTTCTCAATTGCCTACTCAGACTAAAGTAGCACATGTTGACACCAGAGTGATTCTCCATTGGATTTCAAGGCTGACATTATTTTCGATTTTAATGCTGGTTCTTAAATGAAGTGAGAGCCGAGCCGCAGATGCAGTCGACTGTTTGCTTTATGACCGCATTTCCAAACTTGGAAAAGGCAAAATAAACGATGCAATAGTTGAGGTTATCGTTGTAGCGCCTACTAGACCCTGCCTAAACCAGCAAATCTTTTGATCAGAGGGAGAAGGATATTCATTCAGTGGATTTGATAAGTGATGACATACATACATACGTTACTCTGGATAGTACTCTAGATAAGTATGAGTTTAACCTACTGCCTATAATATTCAGAACGTAATTGTGCCACAGTAGCGCGGGTCTCGCAAGGCAGCTCAATTCGTTGGATTTCGTTTTGAATGTGTCTTCCGACGTGCCTATGAGAAAGTAGGGAAGTACCTATCCAAGTACCTGTCCACGTCGGTAGCAGACCACCACCTGCTACCTTACTTTTGCTCCTTACTGCTCTGATCTTATCCCCTAGCTATCTGGTGTTCTGTATTTTGACACGTTTGTAGCTTCACCCAATGCGGGCTAGTATTCCCCCGAAGACCATTTTCTCGCAGCATAATTTAGAACCGTCCGCCCAAATGTTTTGTACTCGCATCGCCAACAATGTTTCTTTGACTTTGGCCCGGGTGTTGCCGGCGAGCGACTTAAGGACTTTGTTGCTGCTCTGTAATCTGTTCGCAATTACTGTTGTGTGCGCATAGAAAGAGAGGAAGTGGACACAATTGACACCTACGATTTTCGGATTGTCCGTGTTGGAGTTTGTGTGCCACAGATTTGAATCCTTAGCAGCTATCAGACCAGTTTTATCCAGCGAGTGAATATGGCTCCTTGGATTTCGAGAGAGACAAACTAAGCTCTTGCGGTGAAGAAACGAGTTAGATGGGATTACTAGATGTTAATTTACTGTCGAACACAGGCCTTCAATGGTTGCGCCAATATCGAATAATCATCAGCGTAGGAGATCAGCCAAACTCCCTCAATTGGCTGGAGGAGCTCTGAAATGAGATCGATGATGTCGATGTCATCGGCTAGTAATTGTACACTCTTATGAAACACTGTTCCTAAGCGATTTAGTTCCGCGACTCGTATTATCTTCCCTAGCATTAGATTAAAGAAATTACACGACAGAGTCTCGAAACCTATTTTCTTATGGAAGAGCTCGGGACTCGGTTTTGGAACATATGAGTCAGGTCTTTTCTCTAACTGGGTTGCGTACATTTCAAACTAATTGTTTCTCGCAGGCGAAGCCACATTAAAAAGAGAAGGAAAATACCCTGGCTTTTTCAGAGCACAGAGTAACTATCATTCACCCTGACACATTTAGCAAAACTTTCAATTAGAAGTGGTTTTTATATGCATTGAGCAAAGTTATATATCTCCTAGTAGTACTTAGCTTACAAGCAAATTGAACTTACTTGAAGAAAATAAGACGACCTCCTTCGGAAGCATTCTTAAATGCTGGACCAGGTCCCCCAGCCGCTATCGTTCCCAGTATGACCACAACTACTAAAGCAATAAACATTACCAATGTTTGCCATGCATCGGTGTGGACAACGGCCTTTATGCCGCCCTAAAATCGAAAAATCATTATTTTTATTAGTAAACACACATAGATACTATGCGCGATTTTTCCACCGGAACTATAGAATTTATTATATTTAAGAACTCCCGCCAAAATATTTTGGAAAATTTTTCAGAATATTTTAGCAAATGTCTTAAAACATAATATATTTTATAATACCGATGGAAAACAGTACTGATTTTTATGAAGACTGATGCACCCTAATGTATGCATCATATTTGCGATAAAAAGGTGTCTGCGTTTCTTTAAATTTTACAAAAAAATTAAGCAATTTTAAAATAATGTTCATATCGTTACCTAAAAGTAAAAAGGTGGCAAGTGCATATTTTTTTTAAGTTGTTCAGGAGGCGAAAAATAGATGAAGTTTCTTATTATCTGTCTTTCGTCGGGCACCTTTTCACCTTTAGGTAGCGATATGCATATTAAGCAATTTCACTAAGGTTGATTAAAGTTTTTCCCAAAGCCACTGCATTTTAAATTTTATTGTAAATTGAAAATAAAACTACAACAATGAATTAATTTAAAAGGTTAAATTGTTGTTTCTAATAATTTTTATGTGCATACATACTTCCAATATGTAAGTGAAATGATTGATGCTCATTAGACGGGTCTAATCGATCTACATTTTTCTCTAATTTCTACTGTAATTTAACTGTTCAAATTAAAATTTTTTCGAATCCCTTGTAAATATTTCTAATTAATATTAAGATTTACAGTCGCTAATTGCGAATTTCTGTTTTCCATATAAATAGCACAGGAAACCAATTTTTTCAATTTTGAAATTTTATAACTTGTTTTAAGTCAACGTATCCGAATGAGCGATCTATGTATATTTTTGAAGCAAATTAAAGGCTGTACAAAAATGTTTCAAATGATTTTTCCATCTCCAAAAGTTCTTCGATGTTAAAGTCGAATGTTAAAACATATCACCGAATACGATAATAATTTTCTTAAAAAAAATCACTTAACCTTAATTGTCGTCAAGTTAAATATTGTTTTAAAAGTTTTTTTTTACCGTATGGATAAAATTACTGACACCGGCATGAAAAAAAAACTGCGTGCACAAAGTTGGAAACTTGAATTTATACGGTATATAAAAATGATTAAGATTAAATAATAAAAAAATTAATACTCAAAATTTGTCAATAGGTAGTGGCGTATAATTGTATTAAGAGCCTGTCAGACGTGGCAATGCAATATATTTCGAAAAGGCTTTCAAGAAATTTCAGAAATAATGTGAGAACTTTCAGAAGGAATGTTGCATGAGCAGTCACACCGTGCATATAAAGTGTATTTCGAAGGGATTTTTTTATTTCCGAAAGGCGAATTGCATATTGCTAGTGCAGCATGAGCAAGTTAAAATATATTTCCGAAATAGATTTGCGCTCTCTCAATCACAGGCACATCTTGCAACTTTTATTTCTGAAACTGATTTCCGAAATGTAGCAGAAAGGTCTTTCTGGCTGTTCACACATCGAAATAAAATTTCTCATTCACAATTTGACAGCGAATTGCGTGGAAAAGTTGGAAATATTGTCCCGTGTTACACGCTCTTTACACACATTATTAAGCTTTACTACTCAGAAATTGTTAAATGATATTTTTTTCACAGAAGATTAAAAATTATTAAATTTTTAAGAAAAAGTCGTAAGTTTCCACATTTCGTAGAAAATTTACAAAAAAAAACATTAAATTTTGTATATGTTCGACTTCAATAACTTTTGGATAAGTGAATTTATGGAAATATCATAAAATACTAAAAAAGTCAATTAAATTTCTTTAAAAAATATATATCGTTCATTCCGATACGTTGACATAAAAACGAATTATAAAATTTTAAAATAGAAAGAAATTTTTCCTGTGTTGTTTATATGGAAAATAGAAATTCACTATGAGCTGCGCTTTTGACAAGCGTCTTTTTTCACTGTCCCAAAAATATTTCACAAGGACTTTTGAAAACCAAAAATTAGATTTTTTTGAACCAGTCTAATATACATATAGACTTATCTACATAAAAAATCAGTTATAGTTTATTATATCCACTTGTATACACACACACACCTATACTTACAATCAATGTGTAAATCACGCAAACCACACAAATGATGCCACTTATAACGTAAATGTTCACGCCTGTGACTAAAAAAAAAAGAATAACGAAAACAAATATAACTAACGCTACATTATTTGTTCAGTCAACTAAAATAATAAGTGCAGTTTTTAAAATAAACAACGAAAAAACATCTGTATTGACATACATTTACCTTGATTAAATGCAATTGAGGGCACATAGAGAATTATAGGCAGGAAGAATATCTGAAAAAAAAAATGTTTGTAAACTAATTAAGTTCAAATGGCACTTTCTTTAAATAAAATCTTTACAAACCTCGTCCATCACAAACATAAATGAGGCTATGCTACGTACACTGGAACTGAAACGCAATTCCAAATACTAAAAATAAAAAAGAAACAATAAGAACTATTTATACATAAATGATGGATAGGGAAAAATAACTTGATAACTATGCAGTTAGATTACTCCGAACAGGTTGGAATGGTTGGCATATTTTCCACTTGAATTCAAAAAAAAAACTTAAAAATATTAAAAAACAATTGTTTGAACTTGTGACTAGTGACACTGAAATGCATTATAATTTTACCTACGGGTGTAAAAGCTCACATTTGCTTTGTTTTTTCTTTATAAATAATTTTTAATGGTCTGAACCCGGGCTTTATTTGATACAACTCCAATCCCGTTTTCTTCGGAGTAAAACTAGTCAAAAAATAAACATTCGCTCAGATCGAGAGAGTAACACTGAAAAGTACGGGATCGCTTTCTAGTAATAAATTGTAACTTCTGACAACTTCAACATAACCTCCAAATTTTGGTTGAAAATTTCTTTTGTTTGCAATTTGGTTGTCAAACACACTACAGCTGATCGTTTGACACATTTACCAGCAAAAATCTTCCGACTAAAACTGACAGAGAGAGGACATTTTTACTCTCTTTTTTGTCCTCTCAATAGTCAGAGAACCCAGTAAAAAATTTAGATCAAAATGTTCAACTTTTTTGTTCAAAATTTTTAGGAAACCTTCGAGTATGCAGTTTTGTTACCCATTCAATTTTAGTTAAGTGAAAGTTTCAAGTCGCTAAAAATTACCGTTAATTCTTTAGAATTTTTTTGTGGAGGGTGTTGCGGATTTTCTTCCATATGAAAATTGATTTTATTCGTGAATGGCCTACAAAACTGCACTCGATTTTTTTTTTATTCCGAATAAAACGTTGAAAATTTTGATGATTCTTTTTTGAATTTTTGTGAACTTTATATAAAGTGTAAAACTTTGATTTGTTTTATAGAACGAATTATATTTTCATAAATAACTAAGAAGGTGTACACTTTCATTTGTCGCGTAGTGTATGTATATAAAGCACAGATTTTTTTTCTTTTTGGTATTCTAAAAAACTTTCATGAAGCTCAACTCCATAACTTCTACCAAAATAGTGTAGCCGCATCAATAATCTCTTCGCACAAATACTAAGAGAAAAAAACCTCATTACTTTTACAGTTAAACTGATCTGTTCCCCTCAAAAATGACACATTTAGCTCACTGGACAAAGTCCAGTAATTACAAACAGCCCATAGGTACCTATTAATGAACGATATCGCAGGCATCTATCATATTTACGTGCATATGTATGTATGTATGTATGTATGTTGATAAAACGTAAGCAGGCATGATAAAATTACGGTTATTGTACTCTATATTGATATTTATTGTTGTCTTTTTATACCCGAGCGCACTTGTGCACAAGGGTATATTAATTTTGTTCACATAACGGTTGTTTGTAACAGCCAAAACGAATCGAGATAGATATAGACAAATGTATACATAAATGATC